GGGCGGCTGCCCCGGGGACTCGGTTTCGAGCTGGCAATTCAGTGGGGCCGTTTACTACCGAACCGTCGTAGCCCGGGTGGCATCAGCTGGCGAGGCCGGTGCCAATCTAGCAACACCACCTGAGCAACCAGAGCCCAGGAAGCCAGAGCGATCAGAAAGAAAGAGAAGCCCAGGAGGAGAAAAGGGTTCCAAGGAGCCCAGCTCCAGGGGGCTCCAAGGGGCCCAGGTGCTGGTGGAGATCCGTCCCATGGTGGCAAGTAAGTGCTTTTTTCTTGCTGTGCGTGCCCAGTCCCAGGACAGTGAAAGCTGCCATCTGCTGCCAGTCTTTCCCACCCAACCCCCACCTGCCCCACCCCATGCAGGTTCCCAGCAGATTAACAAATTCTGGACGTGAACCCAAAGAGCTACTTCTGTGAGCAGCAGTGGCCTCTGGGTGTGTTCGCTGCACTGTATGTGTGGTTAGTTTGTTCATCCCACCAGGTAAGCTTCTGAAACCAAGATGCGATGTTAGTGTAAAATACCTGGAAACCCTACATGTCCCTGGTTTTTAGGTCACATGACAATAATAGAAGAGGAGGAATGCATCCTTAGGCAAGGATGGAGTATACTTCTAAGGAATCTTGTCTCTTTCTAAGTCACTTAGCGATTTCAAGGTTGGTGCTTTTCATGTAAGAACTGACAGTGTAAAATTAGACGCATAGGTGTGGTGGGAAATGGTGTGCCCACTTTAAACCACTAGGCATTTTGGTAATGTTTGGATCAACAGGTTTGGGGTGGGGTTTTTTTCATTGTTTAGCTCTGTAAACGCGTATGTCTTAAGAGGTTTTCTTTTAGAGGTGACGGGTATTCGTGTTGTGACTGGTTATGTACTGCCTCCGGTACTTAGGATACTAGTCGAAGCAAGACAAATGATGAATACAGCTGAATGACCCAGTGACGGACTCTCTTTATTAATGGAAATGATGGAGGCAAGTTTGGATATTGATCAGAAAAATCTCTTGAAATGGGAAAGAGTTTGGGTGGTGCTTTTTGTGGTTACTTTTCCTTCCTGGCTATTGTTCAGGAGAGCAGTTTATGGCAAACATAGAAGGAAGCTGGGCTCTGTAATAAAGAGAGTCCTGGATACTATGCCTGCTACAAGAGCCCTAATTAAAATTACAAGTCAGGAAGATAAGGCCCATAAGGAGTAATTACCTAGTTAATCAATGATAAGTTGAAGTCTAAGGAAGAAGACTTTGAGACTGAGAATAATAAAACGTGACTTACATTTTTGTGAAAACAAAGCAAATTATTTAACTATTGATTAACCTTTATTTTTCTTATTTGTAAATCACACATCAAAAACTTATATATCCTGGTAAGGTCAAAATTACAGAGATTACGTGAAGGGTTTTGTGAAGGTCATGTCATGTGTAACTGTTGCTTGCATAAAGAATTATTCTATGTTTTTATACATTTCACTGTTCTAGCTCTCATTTTAAGTCGCGTTCAATATACCAGTAAAAGGGGCTTTCACAGGCCTCACTAGAACGGACTAGAGGAAGTGAAATTCACATGCAGGTAGTGAGTTCTTGCCACCTGGACAGTTTCAAGTATATTCTAACCTGTGAGTTTCCATCCTTGCAAAAATATGTGCTTTAGCTAACATGTACCTCATTTTTTCCTGCGCTGGTCCCCCTCTGTTCTATTAGTGTGTGCTAATCAAGGCCAGGTAAGCAAGGGTCTCACCTCTACAACACTGAAAGAGGGAACCTTTAAGGCTGAAGAGAGGGTTTTCATCTGATGGCTTCTAGGGATATTTTTCAGCTGGGCCATATCTCTTGGCCCGGCTGGGGTCATGATTTCCATGTATTTGTTCAATCATTGCTATTTATAAATCAGGCTTATTCTAGTTATACTCCATGATGAAGGGGGAACCCCATTTGTCTGGCCAACAGATATCCCTGTTGTATACACATTATTTCTGACTCTGTTGACTCAGCCTGTTGCTGGCTGAGGATCACTAGCTCTGTGGTGGCAGCCAGCTACCAAACTGATTATATTAGCGTCAACCGAGAGCTTGATGAAGCTAGGGTCCTGCCCAGAGAAATTCTGTTTTTAAAATCTGCAATTAGGTCAGGGTATTTAGTTTTAAACTGGAACATCAGAGGATGTTGATTTGGTGGCGGTGGTGGTGGTGTAGTCCATGGTTGAATCCATGATGTTGAATGGAATATTCCTTCCTATCTGCTTTAGATGCCACAGTGGCCAGAGTAAAGCCCACCAGCCTTTCACTCTCTCGAGTTCTTCCAGAAGCTGCACCATCTAAGTGCCTAATTACAGGCTATAACTTTGGCTCTGCTCCATAGTTAGTTTTGCCCTAATATGTTTCAAGGCTCCTCTCCAGTTTCTCTGAAATTTGAGACGTGGTTGGGTACCTATGTGTTTGGTTCCTCATTTGAAAAGCAAGAGTAGTTTTGAGGAGTGGGAGGAGATCCTGGAGAAGCAAATCAACTCTTTGAGAGTGATCAGGAGAGGAGCAGAGGTGGATCCCCAGCTTTAGGAAGCCTTCAGGGTTCCAGTGAATGTGCCTATTACGGAATTTTAAAAAAGTATTTTGTAGTCCACGGATCCAGTGGCACCTAAAACCATAGGTCAAAAGGTCTCAGGATTGTCAAAGTGTATAGATGTTACATGCCTAACAAGCTCTCCTTTGTATTACTCTAGCGGGGCAACAATACATTCTTCCCTATTGAGCTCTTAAATGGCCTCTGGCCAGATTTTCCTTATAAAGGGTCTGACTGACGAGGGTCACAGAACAGTTAGTTCTGGAAACCTTCTGGCCTTTCCCCAACATGCTTGTTTTGGTGGGCTGGGCAGGCACAGCTTGGAAATTGTTGTCGTGTTCAGGAAACAAGGGACCCTGCTAGTGAACCATGAGGTTGCCATAGAGAAGCTCAAGTGGGCATACTTAAAACCAAGGCAGCTTTTCTTCGTTCCTTGGAATCCCTTTCCTGCCTTCATTGCCTCATCAGTCATGATGGCTCACCTTGGTGAGACCCTGTCTCTCACAGAGACTTACTGTCCTGCATCCTCTCAGGGCATTGGGTCATCCGCTGAGCCTTCCTTGGGCTCATTTTTGTAAGTGAATTTGAGACTGGGTGCTAAGACTCTGTCATATGACAGTTTTATCCAGATTTCTTCCTCTCAGCATCCATTGCACCATTCTGAACGTGTGTGAACTGCACTCCTCCTCCCTGGAAAGAAGACATTTGCAAAGACCTCAGCTCCTGATTATTTTAATGAACCATCACTGGAATCCAAGTTTACCAGATTTTGAGGGGAATTCAGTTCTCAAAAGAGATCTTCTTATTTGGGGAGAGATGGGACCTGTCCCTTTGAACTTTGGCTGGTGCTTCTTGATTTACAAGGCTGTTTTCCTAGTTTTTGAATCCAAAAGAATGCCTGGATTAAAACTCTTAAGAAATATTTTTAAAAATGGCAAAATGGCAATGCATACTTACGGTTTTGAAAAGGTTATTTATAATTATTCTGTGAGATGACATTCTGGGAATGTGTTGGCTGAAATTGTCAGAGTGAGAGAGCTGGAGCCAGAATGAAGTGGCTATATTGAAAATAGGCTGATCTGGGAGCAGAAACAGCTGCAGTCAGAATCCAGGTCCAGGGACAAAGGAGGAAAAGTCAAGTAAGGCAAGATAAACCGTATGCCAGGAAGAATTAAAGAGTAGGAGTCAGATAATTGAAGTTAAACAGGAAGTAAGCAGCTCAAGTGGAAAAATAATCCAAAAGCAGAAAACCAAGTGGGTTGAAATCAAGGGTAACAGACAGCTGCAAAATTCCAGGTGGATTGATGCCTTTTTGGTCAATCTGCTCTTTATTTCCAAGCCTTCAGTGTGTAAGCATTCCACTACTGGATTTTAGTAATACATACATGGTAAATTAAACTCAAGTAGTACATAGAACTATTAACCAGAAACCAACAGAATCTCCTGACACCTTTTCAGTTCCTCTCCATAAATAGAGGGGAATATTTCCAGAGGGGAAATATTATGCATGTGGTAGCATCTATAACACTATGTATATAATCCTTATAAAACAGTTTAAGTAAGGCAAGCCATTCTCAGTGTTACATTTTTCACTAAGAAATTTATTCTGGGAATCTTTCCATATGAGCACAGACATATCCCATTCTTCATGATTATAAAATAGGTTCTCATGATAGCAACGTACTGTGATTTATAATATTAGCTTCTTAGGGTGGAGCTTTAATAATTTCCAGTCTTTGAAATTAAAAGCCTGTTGTGACTAGCATCTTTGCAAACATGACTTCTCAAACTTCACAAGAACCTTCACTGGGCAGTTTACACTCTCACCTGAACTGTGTGAAGGTGCCCATTGCTTTTATATCCCAGCTGATCAAAGGTCACATCCATTGAGGAGAGTCTCAGTTATGTCTCTAGAGCTTTACTGCTAAAGTTGTTTTAATCTTATCCGTATCTTTCAGAATCTCATGAGTTTTAATCAAGTCTCCTCATATTCTTGTACTGTCTAAAAGACAACAATATTTTCGTATCCTCCATAAGAAAAAAATCAATGCATCTAGTATCATTTGAGTTCTAAACCCCGGAGGGGAAAAAAAGAGATGGTAGAGAGTTCTAAGAGCAAAGGCTCTGCATCAGAGAATTTAGTTGTGAGTCATCACAGAATGTAGGAAAGATGAAATATAAGCCGTAATATATTTATGAAGTGCAGTCAAGTAGCCCCAATAAACAAAAATGTCAATATAAATTGGTCTCTTCTCTAAAGCTTGTGTGACTTCTACATTCTCAACCATATAGATTCTACTCAGTGATCACATTAACTGTCTTCTTCACTTATGCATGTTGTCCCTTCTAGGCCCAGGTTAACTTATTTATCAGCATTGTCATTACGGTTATTATTTTTTTCTATTACAATTATCTGAATTTCATTGGTGCAATAGGCCTGATGCATTGTTCATGCTGATAGAAACTATAATTGTTTCAAAATAGTTTGGAAGCTAAGTGAGAAGTCATTTTACTCTTTATTTCCTATTCCATGTTAGAGTGAACTTGCATTTGGGATACTATCCTTACCTTTACCCTATGGATCATTTTCCTATTTCTTCTTCATTTTTCCTAATTTACATTATCTTGCTTAATGGCCTACACCCTTGTAAGCTACCCTAAATCCTTTGGTAAGTAAATTAGGAGAATACATGAATATACATTATCTAGTG